CGGTCGCATATTTTTGCCAGCCAACATACGAATGTGTGATACAAAAATGTCGATCGTTTGATGTACACAACCTTGTGACTTACATCGATACTATTGCCCATAAGTTGTTCTATTAACGGGAACACATATTAAATAACAGCAGCAATCAACGCCATTATTTTATCTTCGAATGCGAGCGACCGGTTCTTTCCAATCAGTCATTGCGCACGCGCACGCACACGTATGGGCAGCACGTACAAACAAGTGCGACCGCGTATATTGTAGTAAGAATGGATGTGAAGTTTTACTGGCGATAATGAACATATTTGGGTATATTTATTTCGTTAGGTAGTACCTGGTGCTACAACGTGCTGTGAAATTAACATACAATATTATGTACGTTGTTTGGTTCGCTCGAATGAGTGATTTGTAGATTTCATAAAGATATATATCAGCCCTGAAGTATTTCCAATATAAATCATGGATGTTGTCATATTAACTCGCGTTCGGTGCGATTGGATTTTTCTGATAAGATTTCTAATCCTACATCGCTATTCTATTTTATAATATCATATCTAAACGTATATAAATATCGAACCACATACAAGAGTTTGCCCCTGGAGACAATTAATTAAACTGTGTTTGTGAGAATCAATCAATAGGACTGACCGGTGACAGAAAATTAAAAGTAGACAAAATATAATTCTGGTTTGAAATTTAAAAATAATTTACATGTGTTAGTTATGTAGAATAAAATGTATATCTTTCTGAAATTTGTGATTTTCATTTGCATGTTATTTATTAAATATACAATAAATAAGAAGATGAACATACTTATTTGATTTTGACTTTAAAATTGGGTTCTGTTTTCCCTAAAAACAAACCGTACATTCTGTATTGATATTTAAATTACTTAAGACATCGGTACACATTAGACATGTTATTATGATCTATCGTCACTATGGAAACACTGCGGCAAGTATAATTTGGGGAATAGCCTCCCGTCAGGAATGGTGTAAAACTGTCGAAATTGGGATTTTCCTGAATTCGGGGACTTTCAAAAGAACGCAGGAAACCTTATCGTAGAGGGTGGTCATTACTACGCATTGACTGTTGCATTCTCTTTAAAAAACAAAATAAGGTTATATTAAGAAAATACAATTATAATGCTGAATAAATGTGCTCTGTGTGTATAAATAAATAAAAAATAAATAAATAAATATGCCACTAATATACTTTTTTTGTTTTCATACAAGTTCGTTGACATCAAAGATACCTACTACTCGAATTTTTATTTCAGTTATATATGATTAGTTATCTTAGAACATAATTACATCGAATTTAAGTGGCTAATATTAGTGCCTTTTTAAATGTTATGTAACGTATCCTCGCTCTTTTAACCCTGCTACTAGTTAATCTTTTGAAACATTATATGTTGAAGACTATCAAGTTAAGTTACGCAAGACGGGTGTTTGTGTTTCCCAAAATCTCATGCAGAGCACTAACTCTGTTTCAAAGAGTTTTTTTTTTTTTTGATATTGATGTATATTTTAAATCACCTATGTGACGTAAGAGGTTTTATGTTCTTAAATAAGTGTAGGTTTTTTTCATTTATTCTTTTATTTTATTTTTTGTAACGGGCTTTTCCTGAAATAAAAGTTAATAATAATAAAGACAACTTTGTATGTAATGATAACATATAGTGGAAGCAATCATTATTCGGAACTCAACGACAATGAAATTCTTCAATAATTGCCGTCATTTGGTGGATATTTGATGACAATATAGAATGGGCAGACTGAAACAAGAGGTATATGCTAAGTAATTTTCTGACGTTGCGCCATAAGCTGCCAGGCAATACTGTCTCATTATTAGAGGACGCATACGTGCGTAATCTTTCCATATTTGTAATTCACGTTTCCTAACATGTTAAGATGCAAATACCCAGTGCTATACCGCAAAATCACGGCACGCTGTAACTCATGGCGTTACGGTGACAGATGTATAATAATATATTTTAACATGACTAATTTCAATTGCTCATTGCAGATTGTCCAGTCGGGTGGACACGACACACTGATACCAACTGCTTTAAATTATTCACAACGGCTGTCAGTTGGTTCGACGCGCAGAATATTTGTCGAGCTGAAGACGGGGCTCTGACCTGGTGGCTGTCACTGACCAATCATTGCATAACTTTGTAACAAACACTTTTGTCAAAATGGGGTAAATATAGGACATTGTTATAATATGCCAAAATATATTGATATGAAAACGTTTGGGTGTCTTATATTTTATCAATTGCATATAATAATAAAGCCAACAACATTTGTTCTGTCCAACTCAATATTTTAGGTAAAGAAATCATTTTTTTTAATTAAATAATAATTATTTGATAGATATGATGTGTGGATTGGTGTTCATGACCAGAACGTAGAAGATCAGTTTGAATACACCAACGGAGATCTTGTTTCATTCTCGAAGTGGTACGTCGGAGCACCAAATGACGGCTCATTGTAAGTAATGCACGGCATCAATACTTAAAATGAAGAAAAATACATTTTTCCGTTAATTAAAAATTGTCAACAGAGAGAATATTTTTTGTTTTCGTACATATTCATCAGCTAATTTGAATGAGCGAAGCTAAATCACTGGATACATAATATTGGCACAGTAAATACATAATTAATGTTTTCAAGATTGTTGCATTTGGTCAACTAATGCAACATTTCACAACATAGTTTCATGCATAGTCATCATCTAATTTAAATAAGCGAAATGAACACTATCAATTTATCAAACAGCGGAGAAGACTGTGTGGCTGCATTCGTTAGTAAAGGCGGGCAATGGGATGACAAATTATGTCAGAACAACTATTATTTCGTCTGTGAAAGGTCAGCTCATTTCACTGGCGTCGGTGAGTTGTTTATGTGTTTATGAATTACTAATTGAATTATAATTAAATTGCAACGTGTCACTTAATTATTTTAGGACTACATGTTTATTCACCAAAAGGTATAGAGTACGTAACAATTTGAAGTCTGTGATAAAAAAATGTGTCAATAGTTCATTGTTATCTATGTTGATTGATACCCATTGCATGCGTGAACTACGAAAATATTGATAGAAATGAAATGTGTGTTTACTAATGAAATGTGCCTCATTGTGACACAAGCCACGACCGCCAGTAAGGTAATATTTCACTGAAATGAGACATCACGTAAATCTGATGTGATCTTTTCCAGTCGTGCAAAATACTACATACACAATTAAAATACGTCAATACAAATTACAGCAACATGACATTAAAATTCGACAGATAAAAGCAGAAAAATATGTTTTATGTATAAATATCTTTATTTATTTCTCGGTTGTCATTTTTGTTATAAACGATGTTTTGACAAAATTAAACAATTTTTCTTTAGGCAATGAAATATATCGCAACCATGACAAAATGGTCGACTGGGAATTCCGATATGGACGACAGTGATTAATTACACACACATATATATGATGGAGGTTTGATGCGTTCCCATGGTTATCACGTCTGAAACATTCAGAATGTTTGGCGAAAGAACTTAAATACCGTGTGGTATTAGGTTAACATCCTCCAGCATCTCACGGCCACGTGACAGTTGATAGTTATCGTGTATTGAATACTAAAACCAGATTAATGTGATGTTGTTTTATTCTGACGTCGCCGTGGGCTGTCATAGTAAGAACGCCCCTAAAATGCTAAATAGAAACTGTAAAGCCTTCGCAGTGTAATTGTTGGGGACGTGGCCATGAAGCCTGCTACAGTACGCTTGTTAAACGCAAGTCGATTAACACTTCATGAAAAAGAGCTGAACAATACATACGGACTT